CACCCTTATTGCCCCCTTCACATCTAAACGGTTACGAGGGGTTTCATAACCAGTTAGATGAGTGTGGGCAGCGTTTTTGTCACTGTTTTTGGCCTATCAACCAGTTAGATAGGCCATCTAACCGGTTAGATGTTCATGGGTTGCCTCTTTTGGACCGTTTTGCCCCTTCTTCTTCCGTTAGCCATATCTTCTTCATCCAGACTCCAAATCAAGTGATTCTTGAGTCTAAATTCATTAATTTTTCGTTGTCTTTCCAATGGTGTGCTCAGTGGCACCCACTTTTAAGCTAAAAATGACGATTTTTCCCCTAGGTTCATTCTTGTTCGTTTTTGAAACGTTGCTTCCCTATTTGATTCATTTGGGTTCCGTGACCTCGTTGAGGGTCATAATGGTGTCTAAGAGCCATGTTGTATCTCTAGAGACCGTTGTTTTGTCTTTTACTTCCGCATTTTGGATCCTTTATCGGGTCATCTTTCGGTTCATCACTAAAGCACCGGGTTGAAAAACTTGGGCCGTCACACCTAAAAAATATAATCTATATAAAAGTAAAACCTATAAAAACTATCATAACAAAAAAACCATATTTTAAAAATAATCCTAGACAATTCCTAAAATGTCCTTGGTACAAAAAATGAAAAATACACAAAGATGATAATAAAAAGGATAATAAGGCACTACCCACAAAAGAAAAAAATTGTAAATGTTTTATTTGTAGAGATCTCAGTCATATAAAGCCCAATTGCCCTTATCGGAACAAACAGAATCCTATCAAAATGATACAAGAAAAAATCAATATTCTTGACGATATTGAAGATCAAATAGAAGAAATATATGAACTGGAAAGTGTTTATGATTCCGAAGATGATAATGAAAGTATTTATAGTATCGAAAGCATAGATAATGAATTCGATAACGATGAAAATCTTGGACAAGGATTTCATTCAATGAAAGATTTTGCTTACACAATAAGTAATTCATCATGCAGTTATATTTTAACTAATTTTCCTTTCTTATCTTTTAATTGTAAGCAATGCAGCAAATCCATTGAAGAAGGACATTATTGTAAAGACCATTATAAAACCTTATTATACCATGAATGTTATTCTAAATATGAAGGCACACTAGTAGAATCCATAAATTCAATATATAAACTATTTAGCCTCATCCTATTCCTCATAACTTTAGAATTTAAAGAAAAATTCGTACAAACTTCAGCCATGTTAATACCAGAGCATCGAATAGCATAATCCAAAAACATGTGGTACCAGAAGAAGCATTAATAAAGTTAAACTACAATGTTAATATGACTCAGTATAATAATCAAAAACTTCCGATAACTCATTGTGTCCAAAATATTCTTATATTAATTAATAATGAAAAATTCACTTTACCATAAACTGATGTAGTAAATGATATTCCAAGTACCTATGATTTTATTTTAGGACTAAATTTTATAAATTTGCTCACTGGAGGATTTATGTATACCCCTACAGATTTACAATTTTTTTAAAAAGGAACCTATATTCCGTCAAAAATGCCAAACATTCTCCAAAAGAATAAAGGAACTGTCACATATGTTAATACTTTTCCTATAATAGACGAAACTACAGAACATTTATTTGATGTATCCGAATTTTTAGAAAATATCTCTGAAGCATTAATGTTTCTTAGCTATTTAGACGAACCAAAGATTTTTCTAAATAATAAGGCTATACTTAAAAACCCTAAATTAAACTTAGACAATCTTCTACGATTAGCTGAAACAACCGAGATGTCAGGAGAAGATCCTCAGAAACATTGGTATAAAAATGCAAAACTAAATATAATAAATCCCTTTATAACTATAAAAATTCAAGAAAATCCTTATATTCTAGATGACCAAGAAGAATTCCAGAAACAAATCAAAGAACTGTTATAGCTAAAAGTAATAAGAAAAAGCAATAGTAGACATCGGAATCCAACTTTTATGGTTAGAAGTCACACGAAAAAAAAAAAGGGGAAGAAGAAAGAGGAAAGGCTTGAATGGTTATAAATTATAAAAGATTAAATGATAATATTTATGATGATAGCTATAAAATCCCAAATAAAGATGTTTTAATTAACATAATACAAGATAAAAAATGGTTTCTAAATTTGACTGCAAATCAGGATTTTAGCAAATCCATATGCCTAACGAATCTATTGAATGGACTGTATTTACATGTCCTAAAGGACATTATGAATGGTTTGTTATGTCTTTTGGATTAAAAAAATGCACCATAAGAATTCCAACGAAAAATGAATACCATATTTAATAAACATTCAAAATTCTACTGTGTTTACATGAATGATATTCTAGTCTTCAGTCAAACTAAAGAAGAACATAGAAGACATCTTGAAATTATATTAAACGAATTTATAACTCAAGGACTAATTATAAAGATGATATTAGAAAAACAAGAATTAGAATTCCTAGGTTTATATATATAAGGAGGCAAAATAGAGCTACAATCACATATTCTTAAAAAGATTTTGAGTTTCCCTGACAAATTACAAGAAACCAATTTATTACAAGCATTTTTAGGACTATTAAATTATGGTTGCAATTTTATTCCGAAATTAGGGCAATTAGTAGGATCGCTAAATTCTAAATTGGAAAAAAAATAGTCAAAAATATTTTAATACACAAGATATAGAACTTATTAAGAAAATAAAAACTATAGTTTCTCAAGTAGAACCACTACAACTCCCACTTGAAAATAGTTACAAGATAATTCAAATAGATGCATCCGTTCATGGATTGGTAGGTTTACTCCTTCAAAGACTTACAAAAGAATTTTCTCAAGAAGAAGAAGAAATATATCGTTATGCAAGCGGAACATTTAATAAAACTCAATCTATATTACCATCAACAGATCTAGAAATTTTAAGAGTAATAAACTCTATAGAAAAAATTTAGATTTTTCTTAATAAAGTATTCCTCATAAGAACAGATTGTGATAATGTTGTCAAATTTGCAAATAAAATGTTGGACCAAGAGAGGGGTGAATTGGTCAAAACATTCTTTCAAAAAACAACTTAAAAACAGTCAAAATAGTAATCACTGCAACAGAAATTACAAGGAAACCCTCTTAATCAGGGAAAACCTTGGTTCTTGGCCAATGCCAATTCAATCATCCACTAGCTGCAAGTAAACAGTTACACACTCAGCTGTCTCACTCTCTGCACACACCCTTGTCACAGAAGTAGACACTAGTTTTTCACACAATCTACTCACACACTAGCTTAACAAGTGTAAACACACACTCCCCCTATCCTAGGCAACCCTGCCAGGACCAAACAAGCTCTTTAAGCTCACTAAATACATCATCGCAAATGTAAAATAGCAAACACAAGTTCTTCAATTGAAATAAGGCTGACAACTCAGACTGCCAAATTACCACTTCACAACATCAGTTTTCAGCATTTAGATCTTGAGCGGTAAAATGGGAATTTCCTCACGAGATTCATTCAATAGTATCATACTCAGTCTTCATTCACTATGGTACTCATGTTCATGACTTTTAATCACTGAAGTGTAGCATGAGTTAAGCATATAGAACCAAGACAACCCTTGTTTCAGCAAAAACACAGTCTATGACTAAGGGTTGAAAACTGAAAATTGCAGCAGACCAATTTTCTATCACAAAACCAACTTCAACATACAAGATTCATCAAAATACACTTACTAGAGGATTAAAATCTTATAATATAGCAAGGCATAACCAATCAGTGCTTGAATCCAAGAATATCTTAGAAAATTAAGTAAAACAGATGAGCTCACTGTCCATTTTTGATTTCAGCATGATTCCAACAATAATTCAGTACTAAGCAAGTGTATAAAGGTGATTGATACCTGTGTCAACTCTCTGAAAAGACCTCAGCACCTTGGAACTAAAATCCAATACTCAGTTCAGCCCTTGCAGTAGTGAAAAACAACAGCAGCAACATCTTCTCTGCTATAACAATCACATAGCTCGAATCAATGGGTTTTTCTGGCTTGAATCGTCACCAAAAACTTCAGAAAAACTAGTTCAATCAAGGCTCTTGAGATAATTCAGGCTGCAGCTCAATGTCACTTCTCACACACGAGGCTTAAACCCTAAAAATGACTATAACAACATATACATATGGAATCACAAAGTGCACAGAACTTCATACACCCACAGAATACACCTGTCACCTCAAGCCAATCATTGGTAAGGCATAATGCAGATACTTTCAAGAGCAAGAACCAATAACAGAAGGCCACCTTAGCAATTTTGTCTCTATGCACACTGAAATTGACACATACACACAACACTGCAGCATACTCCATTCAGCTCCAGACTTAACCTCCAAGAAATGCAATATTCTTGCATATTCACTTACTTTAGGACCACTGAAACGTTTCACACTAATGAGCATAGTAAGAAATGACCAGAATACCCTTGCAACAGATTTTTAACTTCTTAGCTAAGAAAAATCCTGAAACTGTATCAATGACAATGTTGATTCATTCAGGTCAATCCAGTGCAATGCAGCATCCAAAGCATACGTGTATATGTTGAATACAACTGAGAAATGACAATGCTACCCCTAGAACCATTTGTGACAATTTATATGAACTGAATCCACACAATACTCAGCAAATTAAGCAGGAATAGATAGATATACTATGATAATCACATTAAGACAGTTATGAAAGATAAGTCACTGATTAGAAAATGACCACACTATCCTTGAGACTTATTTCAAGCAACTTTGACAATAAAGAAGCCCTTTGAAGCCACTGCCACATAGATTTTTGACATTAAAGAGGCAAACAATGCTTAAGGGACTTCAGGACCAACAATCTCCCCCTTTTGCCTTTAATGACAAAACTTCAATCATATAGCAGCAAGTAAGAGAAGGGATAGCTGAAACACTACCCTTAGTTCAGTCCATTCTCCCCCTTTTTGACATTAAAGGACAAAAGGTGAGAAGGACCAACAATGAGAGGCTTAGAAAGGACGTGGAACAACCCTGAGAAGAGCTCTAAGGGTTGAAAATCGTTGAGGGAGAAGAGGTTTGGTCATGATATCTGCCAGTTGATTTTCAGTTGGTAAATAAGTAATGTCAATGAGGCCTTTCTGGACTTTGTCTCTAAGAAAGTGATACTTGATGTCAATATGTTTGCTCTTCCAGTGAAGTGTGGGATTCTTGCTTATTGCAATGGCACTTTGATTATCACAGTAGAGTTTAGGAGGACCTGAGAATTGAAGACCAAGATTAGCAAAAGTAGTGTGTATCCAGAGAAGTTGGGAACCAGCCTGAGAAGCAGCTATGTATTCAGCTTTTGAAATAGACAGAGACACAGTATCCTGCTTCTTGCTTAACCAAGAGACTAAGTTGGAACCAAGAAGATAGCAATAGCCTGATGTACTTTTTCTGTCAGGTAAGGATCCACCCCAATCAGCATCTAAAAAGGCTATAATAGGCAATGTGGATGAGAAGATATAATGTAGACCATAAGAAATAGTACCCTTGACATATCTCAGAATCCTTTTAGCAGCCTGAAGATGAGAGAGTCTAGGATTGCTTTGAAACCTTGCTACCAACCCCACAGAATACATGATATCAGGTCTTGAAGTTGTGAGATACAATAGACTAGCAATGATAGACCTATAAAGAGTAGAGGGAACTGATTCTGTGGTACACTTAAGAGACAGCTTGGAATTAGGGCATAAGGGGGTTGAAACAGATTTGCACTCAGTCATATTCAATTTTGTAAGCAACTTAGTGGCATATTTCTGTTGAGAGATGAAAATTCCTTTGGAGGTTTGATGAATTTGAAGACCTAAGAAGTATCTAAGAGTTCCCAAAAGAGACATTTCAAATATGGTTTTTAGTAAATTGGCAAACTCTGAGGCTAAAGATGTATTTGAGCCACAAAACATAAAGTCATCAACATAGACTTGAAGAATAAGGAACTGATCTTGATGAAGCTTGACATAAAGAGTGTTATCCACTTTTCCTCTATGAAAACCTTGTTCAATCAAGAACTAATGCAGTTTTTCATACCAAGCCCTGGGAGCCTGTTTGAGACCATACAAGGCCTTGTTTAACTTGAAAACATAGGAGGGAGACTTGGGATCTTTAAAACCTTCAAGTTGTTCCAGGTATACTTCTTCATTTAACTCTCCATTCAAAAAGGCAGACTTAACATCCATTTGATACACTTTGACTTGTTTGTGACAAGCAAAGGACAAGAGCATTCTAATGGATTCCATCCTAGCAACTGGGGCAAAAGTTTCATCATAGTCAATACCAGCTTGTTAAGAGTATCCTTTACACACCAATCTAGCCTTGTTTCTAATAACTGTCCCTTTTTCATCAAGTTTGTTTCTGTAAATCCATTTGGAACCAATAACATTCTTAGCTGCAGGTCTAGGAACCAGTGTCCAAGTGTCATTCTTGTGAATTTGATTAATTTCTTCTTTCATAGCAACCATCCAATCTTCACTTTTCTATGCTTCAGAATAAGACTTTGGTTTAATAGAGGATAACATTGCAAAATGACTATATTCTTCACCATCATCAACTTCTAATTCAGTGAGTTTCTTTTTATTTCTTATTTGAACACCAGCTTGAGGAGAACCAATGATGTTTTTAGCTTGAACCTGTTTTTGTAATCCTGGATAAGTAACTTCTCTATGATCATCAAGTTCTGAAGTAGATTTAACAGATTTATCTAACCCTTGAATAGAATGAGATGGACTGGCTTTAGTTGATCCTGGTGTAGAACTAATGTCATCATTTATGCTGAACTGAGGAGTTTCATCAAATTTAACATGAATTGATTCAATAACCTTGGAGGATCTAAGATTGTAGCATCTGTAAGCCTTGCTTTTTGTAGAGTACCCTAAGAATATCCCTTTATCAACCTTGGAATCAAATTTTCCTAAGTTCTCTATATGATTGAGGATGAAACACCTGCTGCCAAACACTTTAAAGTAATGAACTATTGCAGGTCTTCCATACCATAGTTCAAAAGGATTTTTATATGAATTAGGTCTAAGAAGTACCCTGTTGATGATATACACAGCTGTATTAATAGCTTCAGCCCAAAATCCCTTTGCAAGACCTTTTTTAAGTAGCATAGTTCTTCCCATTTCCTGAACAATTCTATTCTTCCTTTCCACAGTCCCATTTTGTTGAGGAGTAGCTACAGCTGAAAACTCTTTCTTGATACCCTTTACATCACAATAACTTTCAAATTCCCTCATTGTAAACTCAGAACCAAAATCAGATCTAAGCTTCTTCACAGTACAGCTTCTTTCATTTTCAACAAGATTTACAAACTTAATGAAGTGTGTTATAGCCTCAGACTTTTCTTTCAAAAAGTAAACCCATACCATTCTACTGAAATCATCAATGAGTAGCATAAAGTACTTACTTCCACCAATGCTTGTAGCTCTGGTAGGACCACAGAGATCCATATGTATCAAATCAAGAGCTCTGGATGTGTTGATTTCTTTGGAAGGAATGACACTTTAGTTTGTTTGCCTTATTGACATGCTTTGCATAGATGATTGTCACTGAATTTTATATCAGGTAGACCTTTCACAACTTTCAATTTCAGGATTTTGATTAGATTTTTAGAGTGAAGATGGCCTAGTCTCTTGTGCCATAGTATAGCTTCATCTAGAGAGGTCAGATTCCAGTAAATAGCTTCTTCTGAGACTGTGTACACATTTCCAGAGGATCTGCAAGCTGAGAATAGGATTTTTTCAGATTCAATATCAACCACATTACATCTTTCTTTATCAAAACAGACTTTCTTCCCATTGTCACATAGTTGGCTTACTCTTAGGAGATTATGTTTGAGGCCTTCAACAAGTAATACCTCTTTGATCTCAGGTAATTCATCAGACTTACTCACAGTGCCAATACCAATAATCTTGGCCTTTTGATTGTCTCCAAAGATGACATTCCTCCATCAAAGTTTTTAAAAGATACAAACTTGGAACCATCACTTATCATGTGTCTCGAGCAGCTACTGTCAACATACCATTTGTCATTTGTGTTACCAGCTTTGAAAGCAGTATACACCTAACATACTCACAGCATTCATTCTCTTTGGTATCCACATCATCTTAGACTTTACAAGAGATCTATTATCCTTAACTTTCTGAACTGAAGTTATGTTAGACTTCTTTACATACATTTTGGTAACTTTGTTCTTGAGGGTTTTATGATTAGAAATCTTGCATACACTTCTCCTGAAGATGCCTTAACAAACACAGTGTGGTTTTGTTTTACTTTGGTTGCAGTGTTAGTCTTCATTCACTGTGGTATTCATGTTCATGACTTTTAATCACTGAAGTGTAACATGAGTTAAGCATATAGAACCAAGACAACCCTTGTTTCAGCAAAAAACACAGTCTATGACTAAAGGTTGAAAACTGAAAAGCAGCAGACCAATTTTCTATCACAAAACTAACTTCAACATACAAGATTCATCAAAATACACTTGCTAGAGGATTAAAATCTTATAATATAGCAAGGCATAACCAATCAGTGCTTGAATCCAAGAATATCTCAGAAAATTAAGTAAAACAGATGAGCTCACTGTCCATTTTTGATTTCAGCATGATTCCAACAATAATTCAGTACTGAGCAAGTGTATAAAGGTGATTGATACCTGTGTCAACTCTCTGAAAAGACCTCAGCACCTTGGAACTAAAATCCAATACTCAGTTCAGCCCTTGCAGCAGTGAAAAATAACAGGAGCAACATCTTCTCTGCTATAACAATCACATAGCTCGAATCAGTGGGTTTTTTTGGCTTGAATCATCACCAAAAACTTCAGAAAAACTAGTTCAATCAAGGCTCTCGAGATAATTCAGGCTGCAGCTCAATGTCACTTCTCACACACAAGGCTTAAACCCTAAAAATGACTATAACAGCATATATATATGGAATCACAAAGTGCACAGAACTTCATGCACCCACATAATACACCTGTCACCTTAAGCCAATCATTGGTAAGGCATAATGCAGATATTTTCAAGAGCAAGAACCAATAACAGAAGGCCACCTCAGCAATTTTGTCTCTATGCACACTGAAATTGACACATACACATAACACTGCAGCATACTCCATTCAGCTCTAGACTTAACCTCCAAGAAATGCAATATTCTTGCATAGTCACTTACTTTAGGACCACTGAAATGTGTCACACTAATGAGCATAGTAAGAAATGACCAGAATACCCTTGCAACAGATTTTTAACTTTTTAGCTAAGAAAAATCCTGAAACTGTATCAATGACAATGCTGATTCACTCAGGTTAATCCAGTGCAATGCAGCATCCAAAACATACGTGTATATGTTGAATACAACTAAGAAATGACAACGCTACCCCTGGAACCATTTGTGACAATTTACATGAACTGAATCCACACAATACTCAGCAAATTAAGCAGAAACAGATAGACATACTGTGATAAATACATTAAGACAGTTATGAAGGATAAGTCACTGATTAGAAAATGACCACACTATCCTTAAGACTTATTTCAAGCAACTTTGACAATGAAGAAGCCATTTAAAGCCACTGCCACACAGATTTTTGACATTAAAGAGGCAAACAATGCTTAAGGGACTTCAGGATCAACATAAAACAAAACAACATAGGATGTCTGCAAAAAGATGGATTTCCTTTATTGATTGCATTACTAGTAGAAGTTTTAAACCTACATTTGAACATGTCCAAGGAAAGGATAATAATCTAGCAGATAGTCTATCTCATTTACTAATTGATTGCTAAATTTTGTAGGAATGGAGAAGAGTAGCAACAATAGTTATAGCTTTTATACCAGGCACTTCTAACCCACTTTTGATTATCCAAAATCCAGCTCAACAGTTCCGTGCTAGAAATAAACTTTTTCTAGACCAAAAACTTGTTTTAGATAATATTTGGTTTACAAGAAATAATCCCGATAGAGCCCTCGTCAGAAATTTAAATACTTTAAGTTAATATTTTGTAGCGTCTAACTTAGCATATCATAATCTTCAGCAAGAACACAAGGTGCTCATTTCTCATTTTAAAAAGCTAAATTTAGCCTACCAAAATGCAGCAGCAAACACCACAACTGAACTAACCATGTCTGAACAAAGGACTGATGAAGATGAAAATCTTCAAAAAATTCAATTTCTGCAGGTACAAACAAAGTATGTCAATCTACTACCCATTTTTTCTCCGACTTACAGAGAAATCCTAAGACAGTAAGTCGAAGACATAAAAGAACTTATCTTTGAAGAAACAAAGTTTGATGGATTCAATGAATGGGTTGAAATCCAAAATTACCTCAGAAACAATTGTCCACCTAAAGGAACCCGTTACCATTATTATTTTCCTAAGATTTATCTAGAATAATGATGTACTTACCATAGTTCAGTTAGATATAGACCTTATACATTATTCTCCCTTTGATATCATCAGAAAGACATGGTTTTTTAACAAAAACCACCAGATGCCACACATGTAAGCTTCTAGAACTAGGAATGGTCAACAGCATTACCATACATAAAGACATGCCTTTAGAAGTATTAGAAGTTTTCAATTTTCCTAACAAATTGAACCAAGCAATTCTTTTTGAACAATCTCATTGGCACCAAAATTACGTGCCAGAAAGTCCAATTCTCCTTCAAATCCACAGCATTCCCCTTAAATCGGTAAATTATGGAGTTGTAATTCTTGGACAACATAAGATCTACGTTAATTTAGAGCTAGTGGAAGTTCAGAATCAGTTACAACATACCCCTTTTGTTAATGATTTTCGTAACCACGTAGAACCAGCCACATATGACCATCTAATGTATTACAAAGCATACCGGCAACTTAATTAACCCAAGTTTCAATCACGGTTTCAAATTTTTAGATCATAACATTAATATGGAGATTTTTTATCAAAACCAGAATTCCATATGTCATCAGATCTCCCCTAGAAATCAAAATCTCACTAGAAGTAGTTGCTATAATGGACAAAGAAAAAGAACTCAACAAATGTCTACATGCTCGTTATGACAACAACAGCTCACCAGACAACATTGAAGAAAGAAATTTGTCTAATATGCTAGAGGTGTAATAATTTCGCCAGAAGCATCCAGAAAGCATCCAAAGCATATTCTCTAACAGTGTAAGGATAGAAAGCAGATTCTCTAA